TATGTGTAATACGGTATATGGTGTCTGGGAGGTGGTACATGTTATGTGCATATATATGTTAATTTATATACATGTATATGTGTGTGTGTGTGTTATGTATTACGTGTTATATGGTGTGTGGTCCGTGTATATATATATTAACTTATATACACATATATATGCGTGTGTATGTTGTGTTATGTGGTATATGGTGTGTGTTACATGCATATATATGTTAGCTTATATACATATATATGTGTGTATATATGGTCTGTGTTATGTGTTACCATATACCATGCAACACATGACATAGGACATACACATATATGTATGTAGATGTTAACATATACAGCATATACATCCACGTAACATGTACCATACACCACATACCACACACCGTGTAACACGTAACATATTACACACACACATATATACATGTAGATAAGATAACATATATATACACAGACCATACACCACCTACCATACACCATACCCCATGTATATGGTTAGGTGGTATATGGTACATGTTATGTGTATGTATATGTTAACATATATATACATACATATGTGATTTGTGTATGTCCTATGTTATGTGCTATATGGTGCTATATGGTGTATAGTGTATGATATGTGTTTTGTGGTATAATGGTTTATCTTATGTGTCTGGGCTGACTCCCCTCGCAGAGGCTTCGTTAAACCCTTCCTGTTCCTCCTCGGGCTCTTCCCGACAGGATTTTTGCCTAATTAGGTACTTGTTCTCTGAGAGAATTGAAAAGAAACAGCCTCATGTTTGCACGTTCGTGGCTTGGTTTGGTGGTAGTTTTATTGCCTGTTGTTATGTAGGTGTGAAAAATTGTGGCTGTACCTCCTGCTAGAACAGGAGGCAAAAGTTCTCAGCCAGGTAGGGACTGGCTGCCCTGGGCTGGGTTTGGTGCAGAGATCAGTGCGGGAGTGAGTTGGAAAGAAAGAAAAGCAAAGGCGTTTCCAGACATCGCTGGGGCTCAGCCGCCAGGCTCTTAAAATCCTGCCCTGAAACAGCCAAACTTGGGCAATCTCAGTGTGCCAAAGGGGAACCAGATGTGGTGGAGAAGTAACACAAAGCAGATCTCTGGAAGGAGCACAAATCGCCTCGGAATGGCTGAGCCAACGCTGCTCTCACTCCGGGGTCTGAGCTGGGAGCAGTGTGAGCTCTCTCCCTTGGCTGTGGTTTGGGAGAGGTGAGGGCTGGAATCCCTGCACCAGAATGGTTTGCTTTGAGTACAGTGTTTTCAGAACAGCTAGAGCTTCAGCAAGCTCCTTGCACGTGCATCCGAACCCAAGACACTCAGGTGGTGATGATTTCTCCCAGGAGTTATTCCACTTGGTGACTGAGATCCCTTTTTGCTGAACTGGCTAAGCAGGAAAACTTTTGCTTCACATAGCTCTTCGCTTGGTCACTGTGTTGGTACACAGCTCTGGGACTGGCACCTAGGACATTGCACTCGAGCAAGAGAGCCTTGTAAAACCACTAATTATTACCCAGCATGGGGGGAAAGGTCGTGGTTGTGAGTGGATGCTGGGGGAAAATTGCTGCTTAAAAGCAGAGCCTGGTTTTCTTTCTCACGACGACTTAACCTGCACTTGGAAGCACTTGAAGAAAGAACCTCTTGGAGAAATTCCCTTAGTGTGAAGTTTAGCCTGGCAGCTGAGGCACCAAGGTACAAATTTAGCTTTTGTGTCTGTGCTCATGATATTTATATTCAGTTTTAATAGTCTCCTGTAAAAAAATAAATCCCTAATGGAAGAGTTGAAGCCGTTGGGGGTTTAGTTATCTGTGGGTGCTGTAGTGCTTGACACCCCTGGCTCATTACAGCAACTTCCTTCTAATCTGGGCTGCTGCAAGTAAGACGAGGTGGAGACAGAGTAATCATTGTTTGCAAGGACAGGACTAAAAAAAAAAACCCTCCTGAGCCAAAGTTATCCCTAGTATGGACTGCACAGAGGCTCAGCTTACACTGACTGGAAGGGGAGTACATGACCCCGAGCCGAGACGCAGAGCTCAGAGAAGGTGAAGTTTCCAAGGAGAGGGATTTGATTTTCCTCCTGCCTGCCTTGGATCAAACAATATCACTGGAAGGAAAAGAAGAAACAGATGCGCTTTTTTTCTTCTTTTTTTTTTTTTTTCTGGCAGTCAAGGCTGTCTGAGGAGCATTCACAGGACAGAAAGTGGTGGGTTTTCCTCCCCTTAAGAGAGGAGAAATGGCCTTTTGCTAAGCTGAATTTATAGGTACGGAAGGTTTTCTGTTGGCTGAACACCCCGTGGACAGAAACCACTCTGGGCATGCCAATCCATGTGAAATTCCTCACTCCTGGGAGCAGAGGAAGGTTCCTGGGTGCAGAGGAAGGCTCTTGGGAGCAGGGAAAGACTCCTGGGAGCAGAGGAAGGCTCCTGGGAGCAGCAGAATGTTCCTAGGAGTCACACTCCCTCTTGCTGAAGTGAGCAAAGCTTTTCACTTCAAACCTATCTTTGCACTGTGTGTCAACAGTTCAAAAAATGCCCATTTATAACCCCAGGGAGCCCCTTTGTCCCTGGGTGCAGAGGAAGGCTCTTGGGAGCAGGGAAAGACTCCTGGGAGCAGAGGAAGGCTCCTGGGAGCAGCAGAATGTTCCTAGGAGTCACACTCCCTCTTGCTGAAGTGAGCAAAGCTTTTCACTTCAAACCTATCTTTGCACTGTGTGTCAACAGTTCAAAAAATGCCCATTTATAACCCCAGGGAGCCCCTTTGTCCCTTGTGTCCCAAGAGGCAGGAA